TGTGTGTGTGTGTGTCTGTGTGTTCGCACTCTTTGTCACCCACTTTCAACTCGAGACCCAGAAAAGATAGAAGGATGAAACTTTGGGGATATGTGCCCATACTATGCGCCACCCTCCCGTTTTAATTTCATCTCGCTTGGACGTCTGGGTGCCGTGTATTGACGCTTTAAAAAAGTATGCAAATTTTTTGGCGGGAAGGCGATCTCGGGAACTACAAGAGCTGAGGAGCCGAAACATTGTAGGGATATTCCCTATGCAGGTACTAGATATAGGTTTCAAACTCAGCTCCCAGGTGTGCGTGGTACTCATGTAAGAGAGTACGAAAGTTTTAGAGGGAAAATTTCTAAATCGGGTACCTGGAAAGCTAGAAAACTCAAACTTTGGGGGAATGTTCCCTATCCAAGCGCTATTCAAATATTCCAAATTCAGCTCACTGGTGTGCATGGTACTCACGTAACGGCGTATGAAAGTTTTAGGGGGAAAATTGCTAACTCTGGGTACCAGGGAAGCTAGAAAGCTGAAATTTTGGATGAGTGTTCCTTATCGAAGTACAACTCAAATGTTTAAAATTCAGCCCCAAACTGTGCGTTGTACTCACGCAAGTGCGTATGGAAATTTCTGCAGGAAAATTACTAATTCGGCAACCAGAACAGCTGGAAGGCTAAAATTTTAAGGGGATATTCTCTGTGCAAGTGTAATTTAAAAATTTCAAATTCAGATTTCCAGACACGTGGAATACCACGTACGGGTACGTGAAGGTTTTGGCGGGAAAATCGCTAACTCGGTAATCAAAAAAGCTGGAAGGCTAAATTTGCGGGAATGTTTCCTGTCCAAGTACAACTTAAGTATTTCAAATTCGGCGTTGAGGTATGCGTGGTTCCTACGTACGAGCGCTTGAAAGTCTTGACGCAAAAATTTCTCACTGAACAACTACGTTACTTTTAAAGAACGACTGTTAAATGCAAATTATACATTTACTTTGCAAAATTTGTGGTGATTTATGCTGGTGACCGCAGAAGGTAAGTGTAAAGCAACAGCCATTCATACAGTTAATGACCTGAGTAATTCAAGTCCGGTGCAAAAACGCATGATCGCACGGGGCCGCCCGGTGCGTTCATACAGTTAATGACCTGAGTAATTCAAGTTCGGTGCAAAAACGCATGATCGCACGGGCCCGCCTGGTGCTTCCCAGCCTGGGTTCCATAAATAGGCCCGGACCAGGACGAAATTGAACCACCCGCAGTGTTTTACCAATATACCACCAGTTTTTGTGCTCCAAGTTTAGCCAGGCAGCACATCTCATGTATGTCTGTCTTTCAAGGCAAGATACATTTTTCTTTTCTCTTTTTTCTTTGTGGCGGCTTATTGACCGAATTTTCGCGGGTCTTCCGCAATGCTCTGATTAGCTGCATTTCACAGCTAACCCTCCGGCTATGCGGCTGATAAATTTTCCAGCTGTTTTGAACAATGCCAAATCACTCGGTGGTCAGCTTCGCTTTATCTTTTGAAGAGACGACCAGCTCAGTGGCTCTTCCGCCAGAAGCACTCAGCAAGGTTTTAGCCATCTCTGGAAATCGTATATGTGTAATGTACACCACCAAGCCTTAAATACTGTAACTCCCGGACCACGATGAAGTATAATACCCATTAAGAATGACACAACAACTAAAATAACGGTGTAGATTTACTTTGATAATATGGTACTTTTGTTGATGGAATTTCGGATCAATCTGAGCAACTGAGCACCAATATGTTGTTACTTGGTTCGGTACTGCAACATCTGAAAGTTTGAAACGATGAATTATTTCGTATTTACATTTAAGCAGCTGACAGAATTTACAAAAAAAAAGCATCCTTCTCGCTATCCCGTACCTTGCCCTTCAAAATCAGACGAACCTAAAGTAACCTCAGTTTCAACTTTCTTAATTACTTCGTCATACAACTCATTAACTCTTTTTTTTTAAATGATTCACTAATTTAAAGATATTTCCCTTGCGAAAAGGAGAGAAAAAACGGAACTTTATAGGCTGAAAAGTGCATTTTTAATATGGTTTAGAGCGAAAATGTGGCCTAACAATCATAATTTCTCCATGTTCAGTGCTTTGTAGCTTGATGTTCGCCAATAATCTTTATCATGTTTCTAGTTACGAATCCCGCGAATATTATGTATCTGCACTACAAAAACTTAGAATGATTTTTTTCCAAAAATTCCTATCGTCCTTTTTGCGCAGCAAAACAGTTTTCCTCTTCCCCAGCTTTTAAGCATCGTTATCTCTGAGAATTTTCCTCTGTGAGCTTAGGAAAGTACTGCAACTGTCCCTCCAGCGCCAATTTTTTTGCAAAAAATTCTTCTTTTCGCAAGAATCTTGGTTCACCATGTCATAATTTTCACAAAATGATTTAAGACTAAATATACATACCACTGACGGTGATGGTAAATTGCTCGCGACGCTCCTTAACGTTTCCTCGGATTTTCTTCGACGTTTTTTGAAACAACTTCCCATAAATAATAGCTTTGGATATGCTAGCATCCAGAAGCGACTTCTCACGGGAGTGACCAGTGGCAACAACAAACTGAGTGGTTCCATCATCCTGAAAAACAAAAATTTATGCATAGCAATTACTACAAAATTGAGAGTTATCGCTTTGGCAAATTCAGGAAATCCAAAAAATTGCTTGTTTTCAACATCTGGACAGCTTTTTTGCATCCGGAAAAAAAATGGTGTTTCCAAAAATAACCCGTGAAATATTATAATCTGAGGAAGGGAATCAATTTAAATATCATATATGCTGCTAGGCATGCCAAACAGCAGTCCTGGTTTCATCACGCACACGACAGAGAACAGTTTGCGCTTAGAAATGGAAAAAAAAAAAAAAATACATTCCACTTAAACCGTGAAAGTGAAGTATGCCAATGAAAAAAGGTCTTAGCAGATACTTCACACAACAAATGCACGAGGCGGATAATGAAATGGTATCAGCGCATGGTCAAGCGAACACTGCGGAAGCCACCAGCGACGCCATAGTGCGCCTCTACGGTACCGCGTGCTCTCGGACAGCGCAACAGCGAGTTGAATGGAGAAGTCCCTCAATGGCGGTTCAGCCG